ATTATTATCTGTTTCCCAGTTAAAAGCGATGCTGATAACAGGTTTCAGCTTTCCTAACAAAAAATAATGCATCGCTTGATATTGCACACAACGCCTATAAACGAAAAATATTTTATGAATTCTTTCATTAATTATTTATTTATACATTATATCTGGAATTTTTAAGCACGAAATTTACCATAACTTTTAGGAAATATTCCTTTGGGATGCCTCTACTTCCGTTATGGCTAGACCATCTCAAATATCTTTTCTTTAAGATTTTTAAATAAAACTTGGTGATACTTTAGTCCAAAGTTGACCACTTATACGCCTAATGTCTACAACGTCTTTGTTCTGTAACGTTTCCTGGTTTTCAGTATCCCTTCGGAAACGTACCTCATCCAGTAGCGGAAGTCGCAGCAGTGCTAGCAGCGAGGGGAGATTCCGCTTGTCCGAGGTCTCTCGAGCTCAACACCATTCCTTTCACGGTGGACTTCAAGGAGGACAACATCATGCCGACCAAGCTGTTGTTAATAGACCAGCCACCTATTTCGTCAGCCCCTCTTCCGCCAGCACTACCACTAAAAAAGGTTGCCTGGTCCCTGTCTTAGTTAAGCAAAACGTGGGCCCAAGTTATGAAGCAATGAAGCATAAGGCGAAAGATAAGGAAGTTGGACAGGAGTTTAGTCAGAATAAACAAATTTTCCACAGTATCACGAGGACAACTGGAGCTAAAACAGATAGTGGCAATGGAAATGCTTACTGTAACGAGTTCGATCGCGAGCGCACTCCAATCCAGACTGTTATTCCGCATCAAAATCAGGCGACTCAGCGCGCCATTGTCTCTAAGAATGTACATGTCGATCACATCGTGTGCTCTTCCGCAGACACAGTGTCAAACGGCATTGTCCGCTACTCAACAGCCACGACGAATGGAGTTGGCGGAGTCGAGTATGATGTTCCGGCCAATGGCCTCAGTCCAGGCAGCCAACTTTCAAAAGAAGGTGTAAGTCAGGGCTAGTTTCGTAGCAAAGGGATAATAAATAATTGTCGAAATAATTTCTTTAAATTAATGCTGCAAGATGACCTCGTATATTTTATCGATTACGATTCCTTATAACAGTGGTATCCTTAATTAGCTTATGTAAAATCTCAAGAATGACGTGCTTAACCAGAAGCAGGGTTCGAGGCTTAACGTAGGAGAATAAGACATTTATTCAGTACGGTAAAGGCACTGCTATAACAAATAAAATTTAATACGTAAACAATCTAAGATATACAGAGAGGTTTTCAAGCCTTCTTGGATAGATTCATTGAGGTGACCAGGAGAAGGGGACAGTTCAACTACTAAAGGCCTCATTTTCCAGATA